GTTCCAACATCTGGTGAAAATTTCATGTCATTAGCACCTCTAGTAATATATTTACTGAGAAAAATGGTGACGTCTTCAATACTTATTTTACCCGCTGTACATCACCATCAGTATCACATGGCACTAATTGTAGTAATTCCAAAGTGGCAAGTGTTAATTTTTGACTATTTTATTGAAGATTAATTGAACATGATTTGATTTTGCCCGACCCTGTCTTGCATTCATTGAGTGGGTCATAAACTCCTCTGTAGACCAAAGGACTCCAGAGTCAAGTGTGAGACCATCTGTCTGACAGCTGAAGCTTGGCCCCCCACTGGGCCTAGGGCTGGGCGGTATGACCTCAAATTCATATTACGGTATAAATTGAATCCCTTCACAGTAACGTTATATATCGCGGTAGAAAATTTGCAAAAAGCAAAGATAATGTAATTTTAGAGCATTTATTTTGCAGAAAACTGTAATCATAATCAAACCCAGCATTTTTGCTGTAGTGCAAATGAACATAACAGAAGTACAAAAGAATGTTTTAAACATATTGCAAAATCATTTCAACAACAAACAAAAACATTTCTCAAATTTTTAACAATATCAAAATAAAGTGGATGTTACAACCGAAACTGAAACAGAAAACAACTACTGAGAGTTATAGCTGCTGAAACAGGTTCAAGTTATTGTATTTTGAATTGGACTTAGTTTTTCACACACAGTTTTCAATTTTCTTTGTAATTAATAAAAAATGACAAGATAGGAAATATTGTTTTTGTCCATTTGAAGTTAGATTTATAACTTTATAAAAGCCAGATTAGTTTGATCATGTCCTCATGCATAAGACCCACAAAATAAACAACTATTTAACAAAATCTTAGCTAGGAATCAAATAAAGATTATTAACACAGAAAATATTATTAGACTGACTAAAAGGGTATTGTGTTTCTGTAAGCTGATTCATAAAAAAACTAACTTAATGTATCAGTGTAATGTTTTAGTTTGAAACTGGAGAATTGTAGATTTTTCTTACCTCATAAGAACTCGGGAGCTTCAGTTTGAGACTGAGAAATTTTTTAATTGTTCCCACAGTGACCCTGCTGGAGCAGCGGATGAACCTCTTCATCAGATCCTGAATGGAAGAGTAAAAAAAGGTTTTTATGAGAAGCATTAAGAGAAACAAGCACTTTTTTTTTTACTTAAAAATGAGAAAAAACCCTAATGGTTTCTTGGTTTTGGTGAGCTTGCTTAATTTTCTTATAGCCCACCGATACAGTGCTCTCCCCTGACTGCCCCGTGTTGTGCAGGCAGTCCAGACAGATGGCTATCTGTGGGTCACTTCTGTGATAGTCGCCATCTTCGCCGCCATCGCCGCCATCATCAGCACCGGCACCCCCATCACCCCCTCCATCAGTCAGCCACTGACACCGTGGGATTTCTGCGGGAAGAAGATTCAAATACAACTTTATAAGATATTTAAAATTCCCCAAAAGTTTGGATGTTGTGTACAATGTGTGAAAACTCATTTATAAAACCATATTTTGTACACAGTGGAATACAGAAAACATCAAATTTTTACAATAAAAAAGTACCATTTTTGGTTTAAAAATGGTATTTTTGGATGTATTGAAAGTAAACAAACTGTAAGTAAAAATACAACAAAAATTCCCCATTACTAAGAATAATAAAAAGCCTGTTTGTCATAAAAGCAGTAAACGACACATACGAGCAAGAAATTCCCTGAAATCAACTCTAAATGATTCTGATGATTCACCACAAGCCAACGAATCTAAACTTGATCAAAAACTCCCCTAATTTGTTTATTTATGTGTTTTTTTTTCCTGCTATGATTATTAAAGAAAAACACAAATGTGAAGTCTGAGAACATCGGAGTCATGTTAAAGCGAATCATCCTTAATCATGTAAAAGCTGTTTGGAACCAATGGCTCACCTTGGCCATTTTCTTTGGGCTGGTTCTTTTTCCAGAATTCGAGTTCTTGCTGCTCCTCTTCTAGCTCACGTCAACAATAGAGACAAAGAAGAACCAAACTGTGACAAACATTAAGACACAAAAACTACACAGTACATCAAATTCAGAATCCAAAATTGCTAAAATAAGCCTAAACCACCGTGTAGTTCAAAATGTTTTTATACTTTGGAACAACTTAAGCATTAAATTCTGTCTGCTTAAAGAGTGGTGCTGTGATCTTCCCCTGCTCCGTAAAAATGGCAGAAATCACCAACGATTCAACAATATTTGTACTACTTAGTAGATTCTTCTTTGTTTTATCAATTTATTATGGTCACCCCTGTGCAGTAAGTCTTGTACAATTTAAACGGTTTTGTCTTGATGAGAACTTTGAAGGAGAATTAAACTGAATTTTGGATTGAAATTCCAAAATCAAGTTCAAACAGGGAAAACTGTTCCAAAATAAAACTCATAAGGACTCTTCAAATTAAGAGTTGGCCTTTGTAAAGGCCCTGTCACACTATAACGTTTTAGACAACTTGTGCCAACTTTTGAAAAAAATATTTATGACTAAATAACTCACGTTACACATTTGATCTAACTGTTAGCATTACAGTATATATACATCCAAAAGAGGCTTCCAGTTGATTTTTTTTATTCCATCTTCAGTGTAGACATCTTCAAAGTCAGACAAAATTTTCACAAGTTGTCTAATAAGTCATAATGTGACAGGGCCTTTACAGTTAAAATCATTACAAAAATAAGCTCCAAACGAATATTGGATATTATAGAAGCACTCAGCAGCATTTCTTCAAGAGCACCTCCAAGATATTTTCCTGCAAGACAAGCTTTTATATAAAATGTCTGTTGGAACCAACAGAGATGAATCCCATAGTTTCCATCAACATTCAGACTGAAAAAAAAAGAAAAGTCTGTCAGACTCACTTTCTCTGAGTCCGGGCACCAGCTTGAAAATAATCTCCTCCAAGGTGTTGTCCAACCTGGAAAAATGATGTGAGGGCATGAAGGACAGGGAGGACAGGGACGGAGGGGTAGAGAGGGAAAAAAACGATTAAAGGTTTTTTACTAAAATAAAACAAACAAACCGTAAATGAATACCAAGATCATGAGGGGTCCAAGTATAAAATTTACAGCTGATTGATAACTAGGGATGTCCCTTTTAGATACTCAGTATCGTTATTAGGGCTGTGTATTGGCAAGAATTTGGTGATACGATACATATCATGACAGAGGGGTCACGATACGATATACTGTTTCACAACATATTGCGATACTGTAAGCAATGCGATAATATTGAGATATATTGGGATTTTATTGTCCAAAAAATTATATTAAATAAAAACCTCTTACTGGAAAAAGAAAAAAGAAAAAAAGAAAAACCAAATTCATTGTCTTAGAAAATTTGAATATTACATAGTCATACTTTTGATACATTTAGCTGTGTTCTGCTTTGTATGTGTTTTATTTGCTTCATATTTCTTATTTAATCCATGTTTTCAATTATTAGACTAAATTTGCCAATAAATAGTTTGAAAATATATTTTTGCAGCTTTTAGTTTTTAATATTAATTTACAATATCGTCACCCAACACTTAACAATAGCCTTTATGTTGTCATAAAGTTCAGTAAACAGATGATATGAAGCTGCTGCACACAGAGTTTCTGGGATCAGCTGACCTGCATCCAGAATGTGATTTGTTTAACTGTGGGTCGAACAGCAGGGCAGGTCCTAAAAATAAACAGTAAATAAACGGAGAAGCTAAACAACACAGTTAAAACATTTTTGAAGCGAACACGGCAGGATAAACTTAAAGTTTATGGACTTTGATGCGATGAGCCAGACATTGAGAGCAACAGACAGAGTTTTATGTCACGGAGGTAGTGACAAGCTTGAGGCGATAGATGCATGCACTATATATGCCTGCCTGCCTTCCGTAAAGTGACGTGACTACAGTTGGAAAAAGAGTGCATGAAACACTTAATTTGTCTTAAAATACAGACATTCTGACTAATAAGTAACTKTTTGTAACCTTACCTCAGCTTAGAAGGCAGAGGGTGTCGGTCTTTTCCGCTCAGATTCAGCTATCAGAGCATGAAGCTAATTTTTACTTACAATGCCAAAGCAAGAGGTAGGAGCCAAATGACTGGCTCACTGCTGCCAACTAGTGGTCAGAGGCTGAACTACAACATAAAATGAACGGCTGGCAGGAAAGTTGACATTTTAAACCTTAATAAAAAATAGATACAGGGCTTTAAAATATTGATACAGTATCGAGAAATGAAATATCGCAATATTTCAGTGTATCGATATTTTCTTACACCCCTAATCGGTATCGGAGGCAGATATGGTCATTTTCTGAAAAACGAGTAGAATAAGATTTAGTCATTCGATCCAGTTTTCGCATCAGTTTTCAGCATAATCATGCTTTACAACTGCTGTTAAGAAGTCAAGACACACACAAGTATGCAACCATGTCCACAGTGTGGGAACACTTTTCACTGGAAAACAATGATGCTGAAACTGCATCTTGAAAAATCTGCAAACTGGATGTTTCTCGTGGTGAGAACGGCAGGGCTCATTTTAATACTACCAACCTTGTCATTTGGAAAGAAATTTGAAAAACAAAGCTATCGGTATCGGATCAGTATCGGAAAGACTAATCATTAAAACAATTGGATTGTGTCGGGAGCCAGAAAATCTGGATCGAGACATCCCTAATGAAAACATTAACCTCCTTAAAACCAGCAGTTCAAATTTGTCCTCTGTATAGGACATTTGTAAACCTGAATATCTCTCACCCACTTCATACAACTGAATCAACTCCTTTTGGTATCTACAGAGGACATTTAGGGCTTTTCAATGATATCAAATTTGTAGGGGTGGGGCTTTGGTATCTTTCTCTTCCTCATTCAGGAAAATGGTGCCCCTCAGTGAAAGTGTTTTATGGCAAGAGGAAAGGTAAATGCATAATACTTTTTCCTCAACAAATTTTGACTTGAAATGTTGTTTCAAAATTTCAAGTCAAAATTTGCATTTTCAAATGTTGCATATTTTATATAAGTCTCTAACCACCACATTAAAACAATGTCTGACTTATTTTAACTTTATTTTTGCATAGTATTTAATCATTTTAAAAATGTCCTCCGTAGTGGACATTTGTAGTTATCCTGTTTTTAAAGGACAATAAAGGGAGTCATTCTCAGAAGCAGAGACAATTTTACTTCAAATTGTTGATAAAAACTCAGATACTGATGTATATTGGTGTTGGCAGGATGTCGTCTGTCTAGAACAAGAAAATTATGCATTGATAAGCAAATGGTTCCATTTACTGGTCAACACCTAGCCTGGCCCTTGCCTTCCTACGCAGTTCCGCTCAATTCTAGTTTCCCTTCACTGCTCCGTCTGGGACTTCTCCCATTGAGTTGGATTTCGCTGGCAGATTTTTAGCCGGGCCAATCAGRGAACAGAACGTCGATTTTCTGCGCAGTGTCTGCTCGTAGTTTATTTTACCTGGGCCAATCAGAGAACAGAAGGAGGAGTTTTGAATGACGACTTTCTGCGCAGTGTCTGCTAGTTATTTTAGCATACGACAGTGGAGGAAGTGAATGAAGCCAGTCCGTGTTGATAAGGCTTCCAAATTAAATTAAATTTGTCTGACAAAGCAGCAGCTCTCATTTACAGTCATCTCGTTTGGCTCGGTACTTCTCTCCTCTCAGTAGGGTTGTTTACAGCACACGTGATTTCCGGTTAGCTTCTTAGCTTAGCCTCCTTCCCAGCGACAACACACACGTTTCAGCAGAGGCCACGCCTCCTGCAAGAAATGATTCTCTATGCAGCAAGTCCAGACCCTTGTACGAAGAAAAGTGAAGGACAGGGTCTGGTTTTTACCAGGCTAGTGAACACCTGGTGTGCCAGTATGTACCGGGCAAACCATACCCAATTGGATTCAAGGTGTTTGTCTATTCTGCATCAACTGGGTAGACACCACAGCCAATAGCAGCTCTGAAACACTATGATGCAATCCATCTTCCAGTATTGTGGATAAGACACATGCATCAAGGTGTTGCGGATCTAACTGCAAAAGTAAAATACATGATGTGCACACTGTGTTAGGTATTAAAGATAGAATAAAGAGAATAACTTTTTAAAGTATCTTACCAAATAAGCACAACAAAACAAAAAAGCAAAAAAGAAAGGAAAATTGACGATTGACAGTTATACAGAAATTAAACTCATTCTTATTTTGACTTTTTGGTTGTTTTTTGGGGATTAATTGATTGCCATGAAGGTTCAGTTTCACATGTATGATGTTCTGATGTCCACTGTAGTGG